ATCCTTATAGAAATTCCTTTCTCTGCTTCTGTTCCCCAGTTCTACAGTTGGGATTCAATGGACTGTGCTGCCAGCAGGTTTTGAAAACCTGGAAAAGAATATAATTTAATTTGTGAATTAAAGCCTGGTATAATTTTATAAGAAAACATGAGGAGTTTCACAGTCTATTACTATTTTCCATGTCACTGAAAATCTCTCTAAACAGCACACAGGGAGCTTGGGTGTGGATTTGCTCCTGGGATGTGGAACTCTGTCCCCATGCAGCCGTGGGGATTCCGAGTGTGCTGGCACTTTGTGACCCAGCCAGGTGCATCTCCTGCTCCTTGTGCTGCTGCTGAGCCCTTGCTGTTGTTCAGGGAATACTGGGAACCCTCCAGGAAAGTGTTGATTCCTCCAATATTTGCTGGGACATCCCAAGTTTAATTAACCTTTCCTGTTAAGCCCTGAATTGCCCTACATTTCATTAGTGCCATGATGTAAAGTCTCACTGCATTCAGTTGTTACCTCTTGGAAGACATTTTACAGAGCAAGGCAAATATTTATGTTTAAGCATGAAGAGGAAGCACATAAGATGTTTGTATTTCCCATTTATCAGTGCACTTCAGGGTGCTGATTTCTGAAACTGAAATTCTGGACTTCACAGTGACTGAGATGGTTTGGGTCATGTAGGACTCCTAATTCCATTGCCATGTTCTTTATACACTGAAACAAAAGGAATTTTTACTTTTTAAATTGGGGGCAAAGAGTAAATTCACCCTGTTTTTATATTCAGGCCGGCTGAGCTTTAGGGGATTTAAATGATGTAATTGTATTGGGCCCCACAACTAGTCCAGCTGAAAAAAATAATCTTCAAAGTGAATATTTTAGTGCTTCATGCAAGGCACATTGCTTGGTGTCTTGGGAAAAAAAGTGAAGCTTTTCTTATATTTGTGAACCGAGGGCCATTGTTGTACAGGTTTTCTAAGCTTCTGTACAAATCTGAACTGCACAAAAAATAGAGAGTGATGGCTCTCACATCCTTAAAAATGAAGTTTTTTTCCTGCTTATAATGAGATGTTGCATTTATTCATGGGATTAAGTCCTTAAAAGAAAGGAAGGTACATAAAACCACATTCCTAGAAGTTTACATCATAATATTTCAAAATAAAAATATCTTCCTAAGGAAGAAGATGCATAAATTTGGAGCCTCACTAAGAACACGAGGACCAATGTCTTGTCCTTTTATGTTTAGATTTGTTGTGTTTCCATCTGACTGGACCAAGTCCCAGTGTCTTGTGACACTTGGCAGTGTGGATGTGTTTGAATAAGCTTTGATTTTTGGTTTTGCTTCCAGTGTGGAGTGGAATTCTTAGGTGTATTTTGCAGGGAGGGAGATTTTTATCCAGGGCTCATTGCTGATTTATGGATCTTTGGGAGGAGAAGTGGACGCTTTCCCCACTCCAAGGTAACAAATGTGGGCAGAGCTCTTACATATTCTTCTTTCTGAGGTAGATTGTGTTGTGGGAGAGAGCAGTGATGTGCTTAATGTAATTCATTGTCCAGCAGCTGTAAAATAAAAAAAAACTGTATTCAGCAGCTCCCTGGAATGTGGGATTTGGGGGATAACTGAGCCAAACAGCAGGAGCAGATGGATAACTGACCCATGAGACATTTTGATGCTATGGAGGTGTCATTGGTGTGTCCATTCTGAGAAATCCTGAAGGAGTTTTGTGCTTGGAATTTGGATCTTTTGGATCTTCTGCAGAAGGAATTTAAATCTTAAAATTTTGCCATTTGGATGGGGAAAGAAATGTTGATTTTGGTAGTGATTTTTTTTGCTGAGTCATTTTTACTATCTCATGAGTGGGGAATGTGGTGGCTTAGATTAACACAGATGTGCTTCCCCCTCAAAGGAGTGTAGGAAATGGAATCAATGAGGCTGTAGAAACAAAGCATATCTGGAGGGGTGATGGATGCTCTCTAGCAAATTTGAAGATAATTTGCACAGGTCTTCTAAACCCCAAAACAATCATCACCATAATTGTGATACAGGATTTTGTTTCTGATGGGGAAGAAAGGTATTTTCCTTTTTATGTAAAGAGAAGAGCAGTCTCCCTATTCTCAATTATTCCATCAGCTGTGAGTGAGGCACCAAAATAATTTTTTTACTTTTTTTTTTTAAATATGCATCATGAAAAAACCCTCTAGAAGGAAACAGCAATGTACTGACTCAGGGCTTGTGGCATTTCTTTGATCTCTTTGCTAATGGAATTACCCTGCTCTCCTGCACTGCAAACAGCCACTTTGTGAAGATGTAGGATTATGTTCTTTGTCCTATTGTCAAAGTCTGGTCTGCAAACCACAGAAGAGGATGTGAATACTGTAACTTTGGGCTTGGCAGCTTCCTGACCTTTCTGAAAGGCTCTCTCAGTGCTGCAGCTCCTCCAGTGCTGGCAAGGTGACAGACGAGATGAATGAGCTGGGCTTTTCCGTCTTCTATGTGTCAGATTCTTTGTTTTATATGGAAATAATTTCTGTCAAAATGGGAAATTTATCGTGAGGTACTTCCTCTGCCTGGAAAATGAAAATGTCAGCCCCAGGTCTGTTTGAATGTGTCTTCTATTACAAGCCATGGGTGGAGCCAGCTTTGTCCCTCGATGCCACCATCGTGTTCTCCAGTGTCTGAACACAAAGTCAGGCAGCTCTGCTGACCTGTGGGAATAGGAACGTGTCACAAAAAGTTAATAACAAAACCACTGACAAGTTAATAAAAGTTACTAATATTTGAGGACTCGCATCAAAATTTCTGAAATACTTTAAAGTTACCCAAATTTTTGTCTGTTTTGTGTCAATATGGTGAATGTCTCTGTCTTTTCATGTGTCTGTGTAAATGTGAATGTACATAAAATATTTCAGAATCATTACTATTGATCTACCACCCAGCCTGAAGAAACCCAGCCTGATTTCTATAGATGTATCAGGTTTAATATGTCAAATAGTATAGGCTGTTGATATGAAATATCTTTGCACAGAGATTTAACATCTGTCAGTACTGTAAAGGCTGAATAGACATCACAGCATTATGGTTTTCTAATAGATTTAGAAAGAACCACATGTCACATATTACCCTGCTTTGCATTTTGATTTATGACAAGCAGGAAATAATCCTGTACCTTGTCTGAGTGAAGATGGAGCTGGGATAATTTTCTTGTTTGTTTTTATTTTTTGAGGGGTTTTTTGTTTGTTTTTTTTAAACGTGGAAAGGCAATCATGCTAAAAAGAGTTTAAGCATTGGGAGGTGTTAAATCTAGTTTAATGAAATCTAACTTGTTATTATTTATGTATAATTACTACTATTATTAAATTTTATTAATTAGATGAGATTAATAAAGGGGGTTCCACAGTGGGTAGAGAGCCATTGAAGTGGAGAGAGACTTTGAAGGTGGAGGTTTTGTTGTGAGCTGTGGACGCTGTGTTTGGGCGTGTGAAATTCAATCGGAGAAAGCGAAAATAACTCCGGCCTTCCATCGCCTTCTTCAAAGCCCTGCAAAGGGAAGTTGGGCAGAAGCTGGGACAGGAAATTGAAATCTGAATACTATTTTAAACTGATCGGGTTAAAGGCCTCTCTTTTACACCAGCACACTTGTTCTTTTATTTGATACTTGAACTCTGAAAATTTTCTGTGACTTTCTAGGGAGAAGGAGGAGCAGCTGAGGCGGGTGACGGAGGTACAGAGGCTGCAGGCCCAGCAGGCAGGCGCTGCCCTGGAGGAGTTTAAGCGGCAGGTGGAGCTGAACTCAGAGAAAGACTCTGCTGAAATGAAACAGCGGGTGAGGAGGTCACAATGCCAGCCTTTCTGAAACTCTGGCGCAGTGGGATAGCGGATTCTGATCTTATAATGCCAGAAACATGCTCCACTTGAGAGTGCTACATCAAAATCTCTCACAATGTAGTGTCTTTGCAGCGAGTCAGAAAGGGATGGTGGCGGGTGTTTCATCTTTCTGACAAAGCCAGAATTGTCATTGTTATAAAGATTTCTGCAGTTATGATACTGATTAGGGATTTTTCAGGAGTGAGAGTATAAAGTGTTAGTTTATACACCCTATGGAACAACGCTTGTCATTTCCCACTTAAATGTGTCTCTTCCTACTCTTTTCCCAGCGACTCTGTCCTCCGTTAATGAGCTCCTGTAATCAGTTTGAGCCCAAACAGGGGCAGAGCCGTGGTGGCTGCTGGCAGTCATGTGCAGAGGATGGAAAAATCCACTTTTCTGTCCCTGCAAATCAGGGATTTTACTGGCTTAAATTTCTTACAGAGCAAACAGTAGTTAAAATGTTCTCCTGGGAGTTTATAAAAGCAGCCCAAGGAGTGAAATGAGGAACAAGCAATAGGTGACCAAAAAGAAGGGGGAAAGAAGGGATATTTCTTTAATTCCTTGTGTGGTTGAGATCTCCAGACAGAACTCCAACTTGTAATTCTGGATTACAAGTTCCAACCTCACCTTCCTTGACCAAACCTCGCTGCTGGCAGGAGGGTGCTGCAGGCTGGGACTGGAATGGGTGGCTGCGTGCTGCCTTAGGACTGAGGAAATTCCCTTTTTGTTGTTCTCAAAGTTTTTGAAAATCTTCACTGCTGATATTTTTAAGACCCACACAGACAGCGAATAATAGAATTTGGAAATTAAAAAATGAGCAAGGACAAACTTATGAAAGCAAGATGTGTTCAGCAAACCAGACCCACAAGGGCAATACAACAAATCCTACAATTTTAATCTGACATTTTCCGTACTGTGTGACCCTCCTGCAATTTCTTCATGATGACTTAAAATAATATCCTAATTCTGCTCCAGAAGGAATGTTGTCTAATTCTAGAAAGGCTAATAATCATTTCATTCACTTAAAAAACCTTCAGCAAAGAAAACCAATCCAAAACATAAGAAAGTGCAAAAGAATTTGGAAAAGATAGTCAAATGTAATTTTAAAATGTCAGTACATTTCTTTCAGAATATTGCTGCATTCTGGGAAATTCTGCAAATCCATTTTGCTGTACTCCATGAATCAGCCAGAGGTTTCCCTGCTTGGGTGCTAAAATCTAGAAATGTTAAATGATATTGTACAGCTGAATGGTTCTTTTCTACAGGAACCAAGGTCCAAGGAAATACATCAGAGGAGCACTGCTGAAGCTCTCTCTTCATGGCTCTGGCCTTTCTCATTCCTCTGCATCCACATACTCTTAGATAAATCCCCCAGTTCATTGAAACATACTGGAAAATTCCATGTTTTGTGGAGAGGTTGGATGTATTACTTACAGAACAACTGCAGTAGCCATAGCAACACTGTCTTTTTATCTACATTAGGAATACTGGGCTTTAAACCCATTTTTTGTGTGAGATAAAGTTAATTATGGAGATAAGTAGGATGGGGTCATTATCAGTTATTGCAATCAATATTTGATTCTTTAGTTTGGCACTATGATAATATCATTTATTTTGCCATCTGCTTCCTATTTTGTCAAGCTTGTGATTATTAAGAGTCACCTGATGTCCACTGGTGGGTGAGTGGCATGTGTTTAACTGAAAAATCTGCATTTTTTCCAGTGGTAACTGAAAAAAGAGAAATAATACATAGACTATGTCATGGTACTGTAGATCTGGGGCTTCCTGGGTTTGGCAAATAATGATCAAGAGCCTTTGTTGCAGTTGTTGGAAATAGATGAACGTGACCTAACGAACAAACTGCAGAAGCCAGTAGATTTAAAGCATCTTTGCATACGGTTTTACTATTTCACTTTTTAGAACATTTTTGTTCTCTTTAAAAAAAAAGCCCTCCTTTAGTGCAGTAACAAGATCTGTTATTTTTCTGGGTTTTATTGACCTGAGTGAAATATAGCCATAGACATGCAATTTGAGTAAGTTTGGAGCCGGAAGAAAATTATTCATAAAACATTGATTGCAGTCCCTTTTCTTAATGGCAGATAGTAGCAGTGAGGTTCAGGAGCTACCTCCTCACTGCTCTCTTTTTCCACTTTCCCTATTTGGCCAACTGCTCCTACTTCAGTCCCTTCCTTTCCTGCTGGAGTACTCTGCAATAAAATTCTTTTCCCACTCCGAGTGCTGCCTTTTCTCCTCCTTCCTGGCTGGGGAGTGATGTCCAGGCCAATTGGCACAGACATCTGTTGAACACTGAGCACTCCCTTAGGCCAAGCAGGATTTTGGCTTGTGGTTCAGAAATTCATGGATTTCTTTTTGTGGAGCAGATGGGCTTGTGGTCCTTCAAACCCCTCCACTTCTTTTTTTCTTTTTAGGGACACCGTTTATTCAATGCTTCTGTTGGGATCTAGATCTAAAAGTCATTGATGAGTGTGCACTGCAGCAGAGTTACATATATATATTTATATATATTCCCTTGGAAACATGCCTGATGTACAGCTAACAGTTGTGCTTTTGATACAAAAGCCTTTGTTAATTGAGTTGTGAAATTGCTTCCTTGATGCTGCGTGCTGGAATCTGTGGGACTCATTATTCATAGGCGATGACTATCTTCAGAGGACTTAACTTGCAGCCAAATAATTCTCTTTTAAGTTATTTAAAGTTATTTTCTGATTTAATGTAAACTCGCTTTAAATGTGTAGTTTATGCTCTGACTCGCACATGATTTCCCTTGAATTTCCACAGGCAGTGTATTTTTAAGTGAAATATATTTGAGTCTTAAATATGTCTTAGAGAAAATATTCACTTAATTTCAATGGGATATTCAGCACTGTGGAGTGAAAAACTGAGCCAATCCTTTGTAATTAGGGAGTGGCATAACAGTGATCACTATGTCCTTGAGTCACTAATAATCCTGTAGAGACTGAATATTCATTTTCACCATGTACAAATGGTGTTGTTATCATTCCCAACAAGTGATATTCTCCTCTTTGATGGTTTACAAACAACTGTAGAAATGTCAGAACACTTCAAGCTATGCCTTTTAAAAAAAAAATAAATTAAATATTCCCTTTCTTTTCCCATGTAGATAGCAGAGGTTGAAGCAGATCTGAGCAGATCAAAATTGCTCCGGGAAAAGCAAGCCCAAGAATTCTCCTGGCAGTTGGATGAGATCAAGAAAAGATATGAACAACAGGTCAGTTGCTTTGCTCCTCCAGGTGAAGGGGAGAAAACACCCCTTCCTGCAGCTATAGGTCACTGTGTGTTGCTGTCTTTCCTATAAAAACACAATTTCTAGATATGCAGAGTTTTGTCATGGAGGTGGAGGGGGAGAACCTACACAGAAAATACTTTTTGTTTCCTCTTCACAATCCTTTGTACCTCCGACTCTTTCAAATTGTTTCCCAGGCTTACAGGTGGCAACACCTATTTTCATAATCACCAGGTTCAATTATTTCATGCATTATCTGTTTCTCTTCTTGTCAAGAAACAGTGGTTTGTTCTTTTTATCATTTTTGACACGGGGAGTGTTCGGTACGAATGCTTGTTTTGGCCCACTGATTTGGTGATTTTCTTCTTTGTAATGTAATTTCAGGGTTGGGAAATACTCAGGAAACGCTTGGGTGGAGACAAGAAAGTTTTGTGCAGCAGTGCTGTGAAATGTAAAAGGGGGAAAAGCAGAAGAAGGGAAATTATTGCATGATACAGACTTGGGAGCTAAGGAGCTGCATCACCAGACTCTGGTGTGAGCTGGGACTTGGTGACAAAACTAAAGTGGCACTTGTTGGTAACACCTGCTGAAGGATTGAAAGGGGGTTTTTAGTACTTTGTAGGAATGAGGTGGTTAATCCATGGAAGTTCTCTCTTATCATTGTTCTTGTGTGGATCTAAGCTTGCATATCCAGCAGGGAAATGTGGTTTCATTTCTGTTTATCTTCTGTGCCGTGAGAGGATAAAATGCTGTGGTTGGCTTTGGTGCCAGGCCTGCTCTGGTCCATCTGGAAAGGGCTTTTTCAGGGAATTAAGGAACAAGATCACTTTGGTAGGTGTTGAGAGACCCCTGCTCTGTGCTGGGGAGGAACAATGGTGTGTTTTGTGTGTGGCTCTTGGAACAGAAGGGAGTTTGTTGGGTCAGATCAAAGCATTTTCCCTGTCCTCGCTCAGAACTGTCAACGTCACCACTTGTGCTGCCACCTGACAGAGGTGACACATTGGCCTCTGGAAGGGTGAGGGACATCTCACAGGTGTTCAGCTTAACTGGGGGATGTTATTTATGCTGATTCCTGCATTTAGTGATTCAGAAATAGTCAGATACTGGAGATTTGTGCAGGAAAGGTGAGGAAGTTTGGTGTGTTGGGGACACACTGAAAGGAGGGCGATGGGACTGTCAGGGTCAGTTGGACATCTGCCTCAAACTGGAATTTTTTATTTAATCATACTTTCACATCATTTTAGTGATACGGTTGGCTCACTTTTTTCTTTAATAAGTTCTCATAATTTGTAATGCATCTTTAAAGTCCAAAGTAAGCATTTATTCAAAGATTTTATTCCCATTTTCCCATCCCAGATTTTAATCTGTAGAGATAAATGCTAACCTGCAGTGTATCAGGAGTTACAACATTCCTGTTCCTACCTACAAGTGCTAATTTATTTTTTTACTATTTATGGTAACATCCACCAAGCCATGGATAAAATTTTTTGCCAATGCTCAGCTAACTTTGCACACTAAAGGCAAATTATAATGTCTCATATTGTCATGGTTTAATTTTATGTGTCTTCTTATATTCAGACATTCCAGAGACTGTGTCAAAAAAACCCACAAAGCAAGAAATTAATATGAGAGTTAAACATTTATTTGGTGAATCTATTCTATAACAATGTTGATATTGTGGTAAACACCAGTGAAAGCATTTTTCACTGGGATGTTTAGTGTTTCCCATTTATTTTATTTAGGATAGCTGCCTTTACTGTAAGAAAGAACAGCTAAGCTTTATGAGACATCACTGGAACCCAAGGGTTTCAACGCTAAACAGCTAAACAATGAGAGCCTCAGAAGAATTTTCAGTGGAATCCTGTTTATGCCCTTTTTAAAAATTTATTTCTCTTTGTACTTCATCTGGAATGTCCTTTGAAAGTTGGTGAGCATGAAGAACACATGCCCCTTCCTGCAGATTGCGGGGGGTTATCACTGGGAATGAGGTTCTTTTGGAAAGCACAAAGCCCCTCCTGCCCCACCACGGAGCAGGATGAGCTCAGTTCTTCCACTCTTAAAATTTCCTTTCTGTACTTCCAACTTCTGTTTCTCTGCACTGCTCTCTATTTATGCTTCAGAGCTTCTAAGCCATTTTTAAAGAAGACTTTTCCTTGCCTTCTTTTACTGCATATTTCTTTGGTTGTTACTTGGCTAGGAACAGATTGAAAGTGTTTAAATAGAGCAGTGAATTCGAAGTGGGGATACATTTTGACAGGGCTCCAGCAGACTTCCAGGTGGAAATAGACACCCAACCAAAAACCAGGATATTTCAGCTACCTGAGAAATGTAGTGATTGCTTTGAGATGTTGTGCCTCAAGTGTCTGAATCTAATTGTCAAATGAAATTTAGGCTTAGAAGGGAAATTGCCCTACAGATTTATTTTTTGTTGGCTGTCATGGTGAGCAGCAGGGGTAGTGCTGATGGCAGCCTGAGCAATTCAGTTGACCATGATTTTAATCAGATTGGTTATAAAGAACCAAATTAACTGATGTGTTACCCAGTTCTCCAATGTGAGAGACATTTTGGAAGACACTTGGAGCAGTGGTTTCACTTCTCTGCTTTATCTGAGTGGTTGATGTCACAGGACTCTGCTTGTATACTGATTTCAAAACAATTATTGGTGTGAACGTGGGCTGTTCATTGTGGGGGCTGAAAGATTGCTGTGCCTGCAGATTAGACATACTGATATATTGATATTTATCTGATATTTATGCCAACAAATAACCTGATACATTGATTTTTTTTATCTTTGTCTTTTGCTTCAAAAATAATTTGGAAGAAAACAATTAAAAATAAATTTAAAAAAAAAATTAATGCAGTTAATATTTTGTTAGCTTTTCAAATGCACTCAAATCCATTAATAAAGCAAAAAGGAACTTTTGGATCCTGCAGTATTTGGTTTCAGCTGTCACATGTCCCTCCTGGTTCCAGCTTCATCTGATTCGGCGCCACTTGCTTTTGAAGTATCCACTGAGAACAGTCTCGGAGAGAAACTGGTGGGGTTTTTTTTTTCTTCTTTAAATATACTTTAGCTCAACTTTGTTCTACTTGCAGCTGTTAGATTTGAAAGTATATTTTGAAGAAAAAAAATAACTCCAGCAGCACCAGAGTTCCTATCTGCTGGGAGCAGCTGCTTTCGGCACTTCAAAGCCAGTGGACAGCACAGTGAAGGCCTCAGCCTTTCCTGCCTTTGAAATGGTTGCAGTATCTGTAGTTGGGCTTTATGGCACTGTCAGCACAGGAAGAAAGGTTGTTTGGTTTTTTGCACCCACTCCCTTTTTTTTCTTTTTTTCTTTTTTTCATTTTTCCCCCTTCTTTCTAATTACATCCTCAATTTAGCTCAAAATACCTGCGAGTTGTTTCTGATGAGTTCATCTTCTACAAGGCCAAATGTTTGAAAGAGCATGTGCCTAGGCTTTTCAGTAATGGATTTTAGTCAAATTTGACAGAAAAGTTAAGGAATTTGATGGGTTTTTTTCCCATATCCTTGTCAGTTGAGCACTTTCTGAGAGCACATCTCTCGTGGGGAGTGGTGGTTCCATGGCAGAGATGGGACAGGGACATTCCCCAGCACACTCAAGTACATGCACACCTTGGTTTCAAGCAGATTTTCATGAATTGTCAAGAATGGAACACTTTCAGTGAATTTAATATATTCCTAATGCTTAAATGCCATTAGCTTGTCCTTTAGAAACAAAAGCCCAAACCATTATTAATCACTGTGATCACTGTTACACCCATTTTTTGCTGTAAACAGTTGCTGAAGTGACTGAATGAATGTGAAATAAATGAGATGCAAGATTAACAAGAGAGCCAAAGCCTAGGAAATTATATTTTCCAGCAGGGAGAGAACACACAGTGAAGCAGTTGATGAGTTATTGTGATAGGAGGATGGGGTTACCTGATGAATTATGGCTGTACTCTCTGAGATTAGCTGCCAACCTAAATATATAAATAATCCTTTTGGTTTGGTTCATCTTTAATGGTGTTTATTCCCTTGAAAAATAATTGTTCATGCTTCCATAGGAAAGTGGAAAGTTGTTACATGATAGCTGAAGAATCTCCCTGTATCTCAGGAAATCCTTTCTTGTGACATTTATTGTTGGGTTCTGACTTCTGTAAAAGTTATGAAGAAATTAGAGTTGTCATCTTGTCCTATGTATCCAAATAGGGAAGAAAGAGACACCTTCAGAAATATTTTCCTGGGTATTTAATGAAATCACTTTGAAATCATGCAAAAGTCAAGTCAATAGACAATGCCTTTAAGTTGGGAGCAAGACAAAGGTGTGGTTGAACTTAAATATGCCTTTTATAATAAAGGAAGTGAGGTAAAGAAGTGCAAAATAGCTGGTTAAAAGTGGAAAAGAGTATGTTTGTGATGTTACCTGCCAGCAGCAAGGACAATATCTGAGGTGCTGCTGGGACACTGTTCTTGTTTCAGCAGTGTGCTGGAGCAGAGGGAAGTGTTATTGAGAGGAGAGGAGGAATATTCTGTAGATCTCTTTGTCTTTTCTAACTTTCAACTGAGGTTAATTTAAAGAAAAGAGTGAGGTTCTCTCAGGCAAAACATTAATTTAGTAATTAACACTAATGGAGATAACAAGCTCAACCTCCAGCTCTCTTTGTCCCCATACCCTTGCTGTGTTAAAGAGCTCCTGCCACTGCACTTCCATCCTAGCTTTCCTTCTGGCCTCATGCTTCATTTTCTGTTTTCTAGCTTCTCTTTTACCAATGTGTTACCCACCCAAGTGAAGGAAATACTTGCAAAACCCTGTTTGAAATCTGCAATTCCTCGGACAGACCAATGTCCCAAGCATTTCTTAGCTGTACATTAACCTGGCCATTTCTTTTCCGACATCCACAATCCATTTTTAGTATGCTGGTTTAGTTATGAGGAGAGAGTCTTTGTGAAAAGCTTTGTTCCTCTCCTCTTTGTCTGTACT